TTAAAAAAAATTAAAAACAATGATTTTGATCTTTCCGATGGGCAAAAATCTGGAATACTTTGCTATGAAATCATCCTCGTTTTACAAAAAGGTAATTGAAAATTTACCAGAAAGAATGGAAAAAATTATCAATAATGGTGGAGATTATTTTGTAGATTAATCTGTACTAAAATGTTAAATAAAATAAAATTTTGCACATCAAAAAACGACATTATTTATGGATACTCTTAATGTGTCTATAATTATATATATTTATATATGTTCGTATATATTATACAAGATTTTTTACCGGATCTTTTTCTTAAAACTTTGATTATCTGTTTAAATAATTCTTGATAGAATATCTTTCAAATAGATAATTTATATTAGTATCAATAATAAATTGAATTCATTATCAATTTAATAATATAATATTGTAATATGTGTATTGTTTAGCTTTAATGATAAACATTTTAAGACTATACAATAATTGACTATATAATAATTGGTTGTAAAAAACATATTGTATTTCAGTAAACAAATTAACAGTAACATTACCAATGTTACAATTTTCCATTCAACAATGTAAATGTAATATAATATGTATGTTGTATATAACAATTACATTGCTGAGTAAGAAATTATTATTAATGTAATATTACTTTGCGTTTCCTGGGACAAAAAATTTACAGAGAATAAATTAGACATTAAGAAACACGGGTAATGTCGTCAAATTTATGCGTAGCAAGATCGCATAAATTAGCAATGATAAAATTTACTTCGATAATGACAAACATGTTTATATACTCACAAATATTCATATACTCACAAATATTCATCTCACAAATTCTATTTACGATTCTTTATAATAAAAGAACTCTATTTGTTGACGCCGCCTTGAAGCTTGTTTGCTTCTTGTTGTAAAATGATATACACATTAAAATAAGTGATTATTATTTGTTTTATTATTTCCGAATTATACATGATTTTAAGATATAAGAATGTATTACAGAATTAGCTTGTATAAAATGTATTAAAAAAAAGTTTTTACGTCTCTAATTATGAAGCACTAAATAGTTTTGATATGTAAAATAATTTCCGCTGTTCTACGCATTACAATACTTGAATCATAGAAATATTTAGATAATGAATATACATGTTTTTGTTAGTAAGTATATTTTTATTCTATCTATCCATAAAACGTCGAAAAGTAACGAGAATGCCATGAGCATATCTAACAGAAAGCGTTCAGTTAATACTCATCATTAGCGTAAATTTCTTTCTGTAATTCTATATAAAAGTTTAGCTAAATTATAAAAATATTTTGTTAAATATTTTATTTATATGCTTTTTCTGTAAAATGTCATAAAATGCTACTCGAATTGTATAAAATACTGCAAAATTGCATGCAAATTATGTGTCAAATTTAATATATCTCTTCGGGTATAATTTCGTAAAAATTACAGATCTGTTTTTGTTTTGCTATTTGTTTGTATTATGCATGTAATATAAATGTTAGAATTTTTTAGAAAAAATCTACACTAACTAACAATATTGTCATGTGTGTTCATATTAGCAATTATATCTTGCTTTTGAAAAAATATTTTCTTATATAATAAATAAATCATAACGATCTTTTATTTATTTTTACTCTACCATTTCTTATCTTTTTTATTTCTTTATTCCTTTTTCCTATTTATTTCCGTGCCTTATATAAATAATAAAAGTAAAAATAAAAAATAAAAATAAAATATCAAAAAGATGTAAATAAAATTGAGAAATATACAATAGACAATAAAATTTATTACATATATTACATATATTACATATATTTATTACATATATTTATTTGCTCTCATTAGCGTAAATAATAAATAAATAAGTAATTTATAAATATGTTTTTATGTAAGTATTTACGACGCAACTCATTTTTTTAAACAAATAACAAAATATTTTTAATATAATTTTCTAGAATTGCTAGACACATTATACAGATTTATAATTTTTTAAAATTATAAATAATTTTAAGACTTAAAAGTT